TCAGAACATAAAAACGAGGTCAAATGGGCTAATTAAGGATATGACGTACACTTCATACTACAAGCATAAACAATGACACTCGTCTTTTCAGATGTCGGCAACAATACTAACAATAACTTTTTTTTTTTTTTTTTTTTTAGTAGTTAACCCGCCACCCCGCCCGAATTTAATTAAAATATAATTTTTCGTCACGTCATCCGCCCGACCCGCGGGTTAACCGCGGATACCGCGGTTGTAACCGCAATCCGCGCATCTCTACTGTATATATATCTATAGGCCTAATGCGTGGAGTGTAGATGACAGCTGTGCGACAGAGATTGTGAATAGTTGAGCCCAGGCACTGAAATAGACAGGACCCCCAAGCCTAATTAAGGTTTGACTATGAAAATTCCAAAATACAGGCCTAAACTGAACTGGGCTACATGATTAGCTGCAAATGAATAAGTTATCCATCCAATTCAGCTTTAAGCGTTTTAAAACCTCACACCCCGTTTAATATTTAACTCTGTGACTCGTCCATCCTCCTCTTCACAGTGTTGTAATCCAGCAGATAGGGTGATCAGATTTTCTAAATAAAAAACAGGGACGTCCTTGGTTTGGGGCGGTTGGTAATAATAAAATTGTGAAACTGTGTAATTAAGGAAAATTGTTCTGCTCTTGGCACTAATGTGAGTCAGTATAGTTATATTTTCTTTGTGTTTTGGTAATTGCCTGGTCCCCAAAGTGTTGACCGGGTTTTGTATTCACCCTGTGTGTCTGTGTGTGTGTCTCTGTGTGTGTGTCCACCCGCGACAATTCCACCATTTATGGATCAATTGTCACCAAATTTGGGACGTGGGTCAAGCCCCTGTGTCCAATGCCACAAGAAAAGTTTGGTGACAATCCAAGGTCATTTGAGGTCACATGGGTCAATTGAAAAGTCACGGCATTATAAAGGATCGGCAATTTCGCCGATTTCTGAACCATCTGCGGACTAAAATATTCACCCAATCATCACACAAGTTGGCACTGAGAAAAATTTCAAACCTTTTCCATGACTTCTTCATGACCTAATGTGAATTTTCCATGACTTTACAGCACCTGTTGTGTAGAACTGATCAGACTTTTAGGGCTAAATATGAAATGTTAACCAAAAGATGTTCATTTTGTCTTCTTATATACTTTAACTTCTTGGGTTCTTTTTAAAGACAATGCACTGCATTGTCTTTAAAAAGAACCCAAGAAGTTAATGAAATGTTAACCTTTTCCACTCACTTTATGGTTTGGGATTATAGTTTTTAACATTCAAAATACTAAAAGAATGAGAGCCTCGCACATCAATTACTAGAGATGGGTGCGTTGGAGGAGAGGGAGCAGCCCAAGAACATACAGAAAAATCCTGCACACCATCTTACTTGCAAATTGTGAAATTTATTTGGACAAACCGTGCAACGTTTTGGCACCAGGCCCTCGTCAGGCAAAAACCAAATAAATTTCACAATTTGCAGGTAAGACAGTGTGCGGGATTTTTCTGTATGAACATTCAAAATACTGTCAGTGCATTTATTGTTGTCTCTTTTAAACAAAAGTAACGTTTTTGTCCTTGATAAAATTCACCAAACATTCTCTTTCTTCCGGATTTACATCCTCGATCTCGGGAATCGCTGCCAGCACAGAATGTATGACTCTTCACTGATTGGATGGTGCCTGAACTCACACTTCCCGGGTTCTTGCAAACTGTCTAGTGTATTTTGATTCCTGATCTAGTCGCAGGAGAGAAATGAAATTGAGTGGAGGCACTAGGTGATGCCAGCCTGGGTTCAAATATGAGTCACTTTAGTCACATTTTCTTTGCGTTTTTCTCATTTTTACAGCGTTCTCACTCTTTTTCACTAACAAAATTTCAAAACTTTTCCACTTTCCACTCACCTTATAGTTTGGGATTATAGTTTTTTACCATTCAATATACTGTCAGAGCATTTATTGTCATCTCTTTTAAACAAAAGAAGCCTGATTCATCAGACGCAGTAATAGGATTCGTTCGCTCGACAGTAGACGGGTACTTTTTTTTCTTTAACCAATCGCTGCTATTTGGTTGTGATGTATGTAATGCGCCGCTAACAGGGCTAACTGGTAAATTAAGCTTTTCCCAAATCCTGTAGGAAGAAGGACAATAACGTCATTCCCCTTGATAAAATTCACCAAACATTCTCTTTGTTCTGGATTTAAATCCTCAATCTCGGGAATCGTCAGCACAGAATATAGGGTTTTTGCGAACTGTCTAGTGTGTTCTGATTCCTGACCTAATAGCTAGAGAGAAATTTAATTGAGTGGCACCAGCCTGATTAAAACAAAAGTCGCATATGTTCAGAAATAATTATAATAGCCTTATGATAACCAGTATAAAATATTATTGATAGAAGAAGAGGAGACACGTCCACGCAGCATGATTTAGTTCTGTTAAATCCTGTTTTAGTCCTGGTTTAGATCTAGTTTATACCTGGTTTTACTCCTGGTTTAGACCTGGTTTAGATCTAGTTTATACCTGGTTTTACTCCTGGTTTAGACCTGGTTAAGATCTAGTTTTGTCCTGGTTTAGTTTCCAACAATGAGTGGAATTACCAAAAAAAAAAAGAAAGAAAAAAGAGGGGAGTAGGTGGGTGGGGGGGGTTACATGTACTCTGGTACATGTAATCCATTACTCCCCAACACTGATGATAACAGAACGCTGTAGTTGCATGAAAGAGATAATAAAATGCCATGACTTTTCCAAAACTTTTAATACATTTACAAAATTCCATTACTTTTTCCAATGTCTGGAATATGACATTTTCAATTTCCATGACTTTTCCAGGATTTCGGGAACCCTGTTTTTAAGCAGTGTTTCTGTAACAGCTTACAATTTATGTCTCTCTTTACTGTTGACAGGGATCAGATTGGTTAAAAATAGTGACACTTGGGACTTTTCTTGTATAAAACTGGGACAAATCAGTGGTTTTGTATAAATCTGCTGGGACAGGGGACACAGGGCTCAAAACAGGGACTATCCCGGGTAAATCAGGGACATGTGCTTTGGGTGTTTTAAAACCTCACACCCCGTTTAACACATGACTAGGCCATCCTCCTCTTCACCATGTTGTAATCCAGCAGCCCTAACCTTTTTTCACGCTCTATCACGCAGCCTTTCCCCGCACATCCGCAACACACTGACTAACGCTTTAATCACAAACTTATCGCTCCATTTCCTACTTAAACGTGGTCTCATTCTGGGGAAAAATAAACTTTACGCATTATGTAAGAGGCCGTTACGAGCTGTTATCTGTCAGGCGTGCTGCGTGGGCGGATCCGGTACCGAGTTTTTTTCTTGTTCGTCAGCCAATCAGTTTGAAGAAAAACAGAGGGGCGGGGCTAGTGACACGCACACACACGCACACACACGCACGCACACGTTCAGTTGTGTGGGAGAGCCAGAGGGAGTACGCCGCTGCCACTGACTAAGCCATACCGTAAGTACATCTGATGCAACTTTCTAGCTTTGTATTTGATCTTTTAGCAGGCCCAGTCTTGTCTGCATAGGCTAATTATTTACGAATAGGCCCCAGGCTACAGTCAACTTCATTAATTGTTGCGCTATTTTTTTTAATTTAAGCTACTTTGGTACGCGCGTTTTACGAACACAAAATGCAACTACTGTTTTCCTGCATAATTTTAGTTTTTTGTATTTTTTTAGCATTAAACTTGTGCTATTTATTTCATAATTTGCAAGCAAAATCATAAATATACTTGATTATAAAAAAATACCTTAAAAACACGAATCATTACCATGTCCCGGCTCGCTTCTCCATAGATCTGACCTTTAACCCGTCTCCATTGTGATTACCAAGTTTATTTCTATACTGTGGAATAATGTAAATGAATAGGCTTCTTTTAGTAGGCTTAGTACTGCATAGGCCTACACAGATTACAAATTGTAGTTGGCTTAATGCAGTATTTGTGTAGTAGTTACAGTATTTACAGTAGTTTGTACAGTAATTTGACAAGACTACTCATTTATAAAAGTATAGATTAAGCTAAATATGTGACATTGCTTCCTTTTTCTTATAAATTTTAGCCTAATTGTGTATTTTAAAGTTTGAAGCAACTACTATTTTCCTGCATAATTTTAGTTTTTTGGAATTTTTTTAGCAATAAACTTGTGTTATTTAGATTATAATTTGCAAACAAAATCATAAATATACTATAAAATTATTGTTTGTGATTAAATTTAAATGGTGAATTCATTAAATGTGTACTGTGTAACTTCTATGGTGAAAGGGACTTGCTTGTCTCCATGGAGATGCTATTTATCTTGCCTGGAATGTTCCACAGTAGGGCATTAAACATATCTCATTTGCGTTTGTACAAATAAAGTGATTTATAAATCAAAAATACCTTAAAAACATGAATTCTTACCATGTCCTGACTCTCTTCTCCATAGATCTGACCTTTAACCCGTCCCCATTGCGATTACCAAGTGTATTTCTATACTGTGGAGTAATGTGAATAATTAGGCTTCTTTTAGTAGGCTTAGTACTTTATAGGCCTACACAGGTTACACATAGTAGTTGGCTTAATGCAGTAGTTGTGTAGTAGTTACAGTATTTGCAGTAGTTTGTACAGTAATTTCACAAGACTACTCGTTTATAAAAGTATAAATTAAGCTAAATATGTGACATTGCTTCCTTTTTTTTAAAAATAAATTTTATCCTAATTGTGTATTTTAAAGTTTAATCATAGGCTAATTTTGTTAATTCATTCATTGATTATTTTTTTTTTTTTATAATACAACAAAAAGTTATTAAAATAGGGTGACGGACAGCGCGCGCAACAGGTGATCTTTATCCATTGTAGTATCTTGAGTGACAGCTTCGTGGACCAATCAGCCGTCAGAGATCTCCCCCCGCGGACCAATAGCAGATGGGTATTCCGCGCGAGTGGGCGTGGACTCTGGCGCGGCTCGCAGACAGTGCAGCAGCCGCCTCTCCGCGCTCACAATACGGCCAGACGCGGCGGAGGCGAGCGAGGCTAGACGAAGCTGGGAGTTTTTCGGATCGAGATGAGAGATTTTGAAGTGGGAATGGACAAAATGTTGTAGATGGAACGTTTTTAATCGGGGTAATACCGGATTCGAGTGGGAATTTGGAGATTTACGCACGGACGGCGCAAACGGTGGGTAACCTGACTGAAAGCGTGCTCTAAGCTTTTCTAGCCGCGGTTGTGGAGCTATTCACCTGCATTGTGCTTGGTTACGGATAATAAGCCAGCGTTGATCTGTCAGTTTTAGCATTTTTACACAGCTATCAAAATTGTAAGCTTTAACAACGACAGAAATGTTGTTTTTCGTTGCCTGTATTTGCGTAATTTCGTGCGTTTTGAAAAGAACAATAGCCACAAATGAAAAATCGTCTCGTGTCAGCATAATTCGCTTCTCTACCCAGGACTACTCGACATGCAAGCCGGATAAACCCGCAGAGAATTACTACCTCATACACAGTGGGGGCCCCTAGCTCTGTTTTATAGTGGCCCCCGAGCGTATTGTTAGATTCTGGAGCTTGTAACTTAATAGCTTCCGTTACTACCCGTACCTGGACAACAGCAAATGCAGGCAAAACAAAGGGGAGACTCTAATTTATCCAAGCAGAGAGGGTGTCTTGTTTCAGATTTGGTGGCAGAGAGCGGTGTGGAGTTTAGTGTTGTCACGGTGCTCAAATTTCAAACTTGATTTCTATATTTAAGAGCTCATATTACGCGATTTTCTGATCTGTTATAATGTTGTTTCCTCCTCAAAAACAGACCTGGAGTTGTATTTTGTTTCATTCACAGGTTTAACACACAAATCCAACATATTTAGGCTGAATTCTTCTCGCAAACAGAAAACACATTGTGATGTCATGACGTGATACAGGACGTGCTCCATTGTGTTTTTAAACTCTACAAATCCTTTGGAGAGAATCATTTGGATAATTTCCGCTCTGGAATTGCCAATTTTTACTAAACAAAAGGTAAAATGTAGCCGTTAATGTGAAAACTACCGCTTCATGACATCACAAGGTGGAATAGAGCATTTGGAGTTTTGGAGATGTAGACACAGAAATTAATTACAAAAAGGGTTGCTCAAACTTGTGAATGAAACGAAACACAACTTGCTGGTATGTTTTTGATGACAGAAAAGCATTCTAACATGACTCAAAGCTCATAAGAGTCAATTTTGCGTAATTTAGGACCTTTACGGAATATTTTTTTAGTATCGACACTTCAAATGAGTATTTAATTCCGATATTAGTAGAGTTACAAACCTCTGAAAAGCTCGGTTATGTTTCAGTAATGTCTAATTGAGATTTTCATGACAAGATTTGCGATGTGTTTAAACGTGTCCAGAAGAATTGACAAAAATCTGAAATTTGAGCTGATAAACGAATCCAAGAATCACATTTCAGAACATGTACAGATCTAAACTACAGGGTAAGAGGCTTTTAGGCAGAATAAGACGGGAGATTTTGTCATAAGTGGTACTTGGAAAAAAATTGCAGCCTTTGCGATTTCAATTCTGATCAATCTTGCAACCCCACACACGGCATACGTCTGTGGAAAAAATGTGGTGTAACTATATTTCCCTATCACAAGTTACAAACATAGCACTATTTCGAAATATTAGAAGTGTGACAAAACACACCCAAGACTCCACTATGCAACTTCCTTTTAGTGTTGTCAGAAGAACCAAAATTAGACACTTATCAATACTAAAACTCATTTCAAAACCAGATACTCTTTTGAGTCCATTACGCTATTTCCTGAGCTGTTATAATGTCGTTTCCTCATCATGAACATCTTGGAGTTATGTTTTGTTTCATTCACACATGTTCACAGTTCCACCTTGTGATGTCATGTGGTTATACAGGAAGTGCTTTACTATGTTTTTAATACTCCACACACCTTTTTACTAGAATCATTTGGATAAGTTCAGCCCTAGAATTGCCAATCTCTACTGAACAAAAGGAGCTGTCAACTTGAAAACTACTGCTTCATGACATTGCGGAACAGAACATTTTAAGCTTTGGAGATGTTGACAGACAAATAATAAAGGGTTCCTCAACCAAAACACAACTCCAGGTATGTTTTTGATGAGATAACGGCATTCTAACATGACTTAAAGCTCACAAGAGTCAATTTTCGTGACACAGAACCTTTAAATAGGCCAAACGTCTATAATAAACAGTGAGTGTAACCTTTTATTTACTAGGCTGCTCTGGTGAAGTTTGTTTAGCTCCCAAAACACTGCGGTGCCTTGATTCAACTTGATAATAGATGCCTGGGAAGCAGTGGTTCACGTCACGTTTGTTCTTCTCCTTTGTTGACTTAATAGAGCTGACTCACTTTTATGGTTCATAATGACAGTCCTTTTCTTGCCTTTTGGACTCCACCTTCGCCAAACAGTTTAAAAGCTTAAAAACAGAACAGTTCCAAAGTTACTCCTCACTTATCTTGTGGATTCCAAGTGTCCTAATTATTCACCGCAATCTTGTAATCTTTTTTATTTGTTTATTTTTATTATTGCGTGTGAATTTCTGTATATTGTTTTAAGATTACGTCTTGATTGCAAGGGTTTTTTAAAGTACGAAGAAAAAAAAAGATTCACCACAATGAGTTTAAAAGCACTTTTCACTACTTTAAGAGACCAGTGTGGAGTTTTGGTTTGGCGGTAAAGCTTAAATTAACTAGCATGCTAACCCATATTCCTGATTATCGGACAATAAAACGCTTAATAATTAGATGAAAACAGCACACAACTGTTTTTATTTTGACCTCAAAAGCTACTTATATAACACATCTGTTTGCAGCTAGTGTCAAGAAAAAATTCTATACTAAAGAACAGACTTGATACTTTACTGTATTTACTCTACTACTGTTACTACTACTGTTACTACTACTACTACTACTACTACTACTACTACTACTACTACTACTACTACTACTACTGCTACTACTACTACTGCTACTACTACTACTACTACTACTACTACTACTACTACTACTACTACTACTGCTACTACTACTGCTACTACTACTGCTACTACTGCTGCTACTACTGCTACTACTACTGCTACTACTACTACTACTGCTACTACTACTACTACTACTACTACTACTGCTACTACTACTACTACTGCTACTACTACTACTGCTACTACTACTACTACTACTACTGCTACTACTGCTACTACTACTACTACTACTACTACTACTGCTACTACTACTGCTACTACTGCTGCTACTACTACTACTACTACTACTACTACTACTACTACTACTACTGCTACTACTACTGCTACTACTACTACTACTACTACTACTACTACTACTACTACTACTGCTACTACTACTACTGCTACTACTGCTACTACTACTACTGCTACTACTGCTACTACTACTACTACTACTGCTTACTACTACTACTGCTACTTACTGCTACTACTACTACTACTACTGCTACTACTACTACTACTACTACTACTACTACTGCTACTACTACTACTACTACTACTACTGCTACTACTGCTACTACTACTACTGCTACTACTACTACTGCTACTACTACTACTACTACTACTGCTACTACTACTGCTACTACTGCTACTACTACTGCTACTACTACTACTACTACTACTACTACTGCTACTACTACTACTACTACTACTACTACTACTACTACTAGGGGTGTGCAACAATATTGAAATATCAGTATATCGTATTGTTTAATGTGATGATACAGTATCGATATCGTGGGCTGCTGTACATTGCCAAGAGTATTCTTTTGGTATATTTTACTAAATTATTTTGTGAAAGAGCTACAGTTGTGTTGCTCGTCTGCAGAAAGTTCACTTTATGCAATACACTTGACATTTTCACTGTTTTGAGTAAAATGAGTGTTCATGTGTTGATATGAACTTAGTGGTTTAATAAAGACTTTTAGTATAAGATTTAAGCTTTATTTTTTAATGAACTGTATCGCATCATCTTGAAATATATCATATTGAATCAAAAGTGCACTGTATCAAAAACCATATCGTATCTTGGCCTATGTATCGAAGTATGTATCGTATCAGCAGTTTATTCATGACACCCAGCCCTGACTACTACTATTTTAAAAGCTTTTCTTTTTTTTCACAATTTAGTCATTTTCAGCTCAAAATAATACAATTTGTTTATAATTCTATGTGGTCTTACACAAGTTCTAACAAAACTCGAGGTGAAACAGTTTTTTTTTTTTTTTGTTTTGGGTTTTTTTCAGTATTGATATTTACATTTCTAGTGGAGGGTCCGCCATATGCTCGTCTCCATGGAGATGTTATTGCTCTGTCTAAAATGTTCCACAGTATAGCTTAAACCCATGTATCACAAAAGAAACCGGCAGGATACAGCACTTTGCCACATTCCAATTTAGATTCGTGGAGAGTCGCCCCTAGTCGCAAAAGGAATTAACGATGAAAACTCCTATTAAACCCGAATAAATGCTGTTTATTGTCATACCATGGAACATTTTTATGGAAAACAGATGGCAGACCCTCCACCAGAAAAGTTGCACAGTGGATCTTTACATGATTACCTAGTTTCGATACGAGTTTTAGCATCAGTTAGTATCTGATTTTCGATAACTTTGACAACTCTAACTTGTGCAAATTGTGCTCAAATACATGTACTGTGCCTTTTTTAACTAAATCTGTTTATATTTTCAGATAACCGCCAGGATCTTTTTGGAATACAACCACCTTGAAGGATTATTCTCTGGATTCTACCTCCGGGTCCTTCCCCATGCTTAAAGATGGGGAACGGATTATCAGAACAGCCCAACTTCCTCTCCAACGTCCCCTTCTTCCAATCTTTTCACATCGCCATCCTCGGACTAGACTCTGCTGGAAAAACCACGGTCCTCTACAGACTCCAGTTTAACGAATTTGTGAACACTGTCCCCACTAAAGGCTTCAACACTGAAAAAGTCAAAGTTTCTCTGGGGGGCCACAGGACTGTCACTTACCATTTCTGGGACGTCGGCGGACAAGAGAAACTTCGCCCGCTCTGGAAATCCTACACGCGATGCACGGACGGAATAATTTTCGTCGTAGACTCTGTTGACACCGAGCGCATGGAGGAGGCCAAAACGGAACTCCACAAAATCGCGAAAACGTCGGAAAACCAGGGCGTTCCCATACTGTTGGTGGCGAACAAGCAGGACCTGAGACACGCCTTGGGTTTGGAGGAGATCGAGAAACTGTTAGCGCTGAAGGAGTTAGGACCCGCTACCCCCTGGCACCTGCAGCCCACGTGCGCCATCATCGGGGACGGCCTGCGGGAGGGGATCGAGAGACTGCACGATATGATCCAGAAGAGGAGGAAAGCGCTAAGGCAGCAGAAGAAGAAGAGATAAGGAGGCGCGGAGGGACATATAGTGTTGTTGTTTTTTTTTTATGTGAAGGATTTGGTGGTATAGAGGAGTGGATGGGGAAAAGGCGGGGGTTTAGATGACGACGTTCACCTTAGAGAATTTGATGTCATGATTTCAGATGGAGGGCGAGGGCCGAAACAACTCTACGGGAGATTTAAGGTTTATCCAAAATAGAATTAAACAAACTTGAGTGCACAAACTTTTCATATTAAAGGACCAATATTACGCCATTTTCTGATTCTACGTTATGATGTTTCCTCATCACAAACGTAACTGGAGTTGTGTTTTGTTTCATTCACACATGTTTAACACACAAACCCTGCATATTTAGGCTGAGTTCTTCTCTCAAACAGAAAACACAGTTCCAGAAAGTGCTCCATAGTGTTTTTGAACTCCACACACCTTCACTACATTCATTCACCTACTAAAAACTACTAAAACTACTGCTCTATGACATCACAAGTTGGAACAGATCATTTTTAAGCTTTGGAGATGTAGACAGACTAATAATAAAGGGTTACTCATAACGTGGGAATGAAACAAAACACAGCTCGGGTATGTTTTGAGGAGGTAACAATATTATATCATGACTTAACCTCACAAGAGTCAGATTTTTAAAACTGCGATGTCACTTGAAAGGAACCTGTAGCCTAGAATTTATAACTGAAATGGGGACAGGTTAAGTCACAGAGGTTAATTTGTGGATTCTGCAGTGTAGTAAATAAATAAATACAGCAGAATAATGCATTTTGTTGCTAAAAAAGTACAATATAATGTATAAAGTACTGGCTCCTGCCCCCATTTGAGAGAGGAAAGCACTACAGTGTACAAGCAGAAACAGCCAAAGGGGGAACAGTTTGGATAACAAAGTGTAAGAATAATAAGAATTTTGATTAAAGTTGTAATTTTATACTAAAATACTTAAAGGTGCACTATGTAACGTTTTTGGTTGGGGGTCTGTCACGTGCTTGTTTCTGTGGAGATGTCATTGCTCTGCCTGGAATATTCAATAGTATATGACATTAAACAGCTCTACTTTACATTTATTCAATTACAGATAGTTTTCTAGCTCAAAAATATATACATAAATATATAAATACATATAATACACAGAAAAACAGGCATTCCGACTGTGACTCTCTCCACAGATCTGACTTGTAACGTGGTCTGGTTTGGTCTCCATGAAGATAGGTTTAATGCCATACTGTGAAACATTCCAGACAAAGCAATAACATCTCCACGAAGAAAAGCATTTGACGGACCCTCCACCAGAAAAGTTACACAATGGACCTTTAATGTGCACAATTGGTTCTAAGTTACTTTCAAGAGACATAAACAACAATATTTAACTCTGACAACAAAACTAAACTTAAAAGTGCACTGTGTAACTTTTCTGGTGGTGGAGATGTCATTGCTTTTCCACCGGTAAACTTACACAATGCACCTGTAAAGTTATAATTTTATTCTGAAATAATTCTACTTAAATACCTCAGAAAGCTCTTAAAGAACAAAAGAATTCCAAGTAGAGGTACAGTAAAACTTAACTGTCTTCTGCGTTTATCTAATTCTTCCACTGGCACTGGGTTTTAACCTGGGGACACGTCTCCAGATCTTAACTAGGTTCATAGTTAGTTTAATCCTCTAGTTAGGTGCTCATATTACTCCTTAGTCAGCATGGTTTGGGTTGGAGTTACTTTCACTTGTAACTTGAGGTCTTCCATTATCACCTCATGATCTTGGGTTGGGGTGCCTGTTAGCCCGCTGCTGACGTCCGCACTTTCACACATGCTAATCTAGTCGAGAGGATGCATTTTAAAACTAGAGCTAATGTTAGTGCTAAAATTGTCGCTAAACCAAAAAAATCTGGTCTAGAATACACATTTTTGTCTAGAAACGCTCGGAGGTGAGATGCTTCATTTCCTGGTAGCTGAATGATACTAGGTTGACGTCATTTCTGGAAAAAAAGGAAACAAAAAAAAACAAAAAAAAACTTTAAACTTTGTAATCGATGACAAAAGTTGTGTCCACTCCTTTGTACTTTCAATGAAAGATCCTGTTGTCCTGAAGGGATTCAAATGTCTACAGTGGCCCTGCTGAGTTTTATCAGTGCACACGAGCTTTAGCAAACAAGACCAGGCAAAAGTTTGGACATGGACGTGTTGTTTTTCTTTATTCTGTTTTTACTCTTCTTTTTACATTTTAGATACAAACAGAAGGCATCTTATTTATGAAGCAAGATGTATGGAACTGAATAGCAAATGAAATTAAAAAGTGAAATAACTCTACTAAATATTTCTTTTATATATTTTCAATTCAAATTCCTCAAAGTAGCCACCCTTTGCCTTTGTTGACAACCCTTCTCAATGTTTTTTTTTTTTTTTTTTTCTTATAAAGGTACCAGAAATTGTCTTCACTTAAAGTTGTGCCATGTAGGGTTATCAAAAGTATCAAAAATAAAATACTGATCGATACTAAAACTAGTATCGAAACTAGATACTCATTTGAGCAGGTATTGATACAAAAAAAAAGTCACATTCACAGGCACAGAAATTAATCTTATATAGACTAAAAAACTTGGGGATTACAGATATAAGACCACATTGATATAAAAGAAAGTACTATGATTAAATGTTAAAATAAATCTAAATAAATAATCTTTTTAATTATCATTGTGGTATCAGAATCAATATTAAGTATTGAGTTTATTCCTTTGTATTGAAATTGAGTTTGAAATTTTAGTATCATGACTAAAGCTGAGTATCATTGAGAAGTTGCCGATACAATACATATTCTTGATACATAGAGCTTTGGATTCGATATGATATATTTCAAATTGATTGGATACAATTCAATTAAAAAAAGGCTAAATCACGGCTGTGGTAGTAAAAGTCTTTGTTAAACCACTTCTTGTGCAAAGTTACTCATCAAAACATTGAAAATGTCAAATGTGTCGCATAAATGAATTTCCTTCCTCTAAACAAGCAACAAAACTGTAGCTGTAACAAAATAATTTAGTAAAATGTACCAAAAAAATAGTCTTGGCAATATAACGACACAGTAGCCCATGATATCGATACTGTATCAGCACATTAAACGATACGATATATCGATATTTTGAAGTCCCATGTCGGGGTTTAGGAATGCAGTGATCAAAACAAACGGCAGCCATTTTGTTTGTTTGAAGATGTATGAAAATATGGTAAACAAAAAACATAGTTTTGATGCCTTCAGTGAGAATCTACAACGTAAACCGCCATGAAAATAAATAAAGAAGATACACAAACGAGGTCCAAACTTTTGACTCGTACAGTAGGTCGGAAGGGTTTGGAAGTGAGTACCGAGGATACACCGAAAGAAATATAGAAGAACGTTTATAGATATGTAGATATGAATTTTCCACGTTGACAAAAGCACTGGATGTTGTGTAGAAAGTTCCAGAACGCAGATGGAGATTTTACCAAAAATATTTAAGAAGTGTTTTGAGAAGTTTAAGATGGTTTATGAGCAGGAAAAAAGTGCACCACAATGTCTATCTGTATAAGTGTTACGGGGCTTTATGAAATATGACAAAATAGTAATATTCATGAATTTTGTTGCCCTAAGTGTATTTCCATTTTTTTTTTTTTACACTGGACTTTTCTGTGAAGTATTACTGTGTACCTTGGCTTTGCTATTCGCTTCCGTTAGCCTCCGTTAGCTTCCGTTAGCTTGCTGCGCTATGTTAGATTTTTAAACATGCACTTTAGTTGATACATTCACAGTTTACAGTTGTTTGTAGGGGGAGTTGTACGTTGGACGATTTTTTTACATGAACAAAATCGATTTACGGATAAAATAAAATAAAAATATGATTACACAATGTTTTGACAAATTATGCTTTATCTTGTTTTGAATAAAATGTAATTAGAACAAAGAATGGCTTTTCGAATCTTATTGTTGAAGAATTGTCAATATACTACTTATTTCCTTTAAAAATGCCTCGACAAACCTTTTGTTCTGTCATAAACCTAAGAGTTAAGATCTAAAAGTGTTTAATAAGTAATTTCATCTTGTAAACTGGACTGAAACAGAGCAAAGGATCATGGTCTATGTAGTTTCTTTTAGCTATTTCTGCACCAAAACAATGAATTTAAGCAAATAAACTTGTAATTTACTATTATTGTGATGGCCCACGATATTATTGAGAGACTTTTGACAATATAATATCATGATGTTTTGGTTATTGCATCCCTAGTAGTTGGTAAAGTACAAAATCTGTACAAAACAGTGGTTAAGTTAAATTTACTCTTACATAAGTCAGTTTTGATGTAAATAACTTTCTTGTAGGTGAATAAATATAATATAATTTGGGCACGTTAATTAGGTTAACATTGTGTAACTTTTCTGGTGGAGGCTTCGTCAAATGCTTTTATCCATAGAGATGTTATTGCTTTCTCTGGAATGTTTCACAGTATGGTATTAAACCTGACTATCTTCATGGAGGCCAAACCAGACCAAGTTACAGATCAGATCTGTGGAGAGGTGACCCCGCTCACAGTCAGAATGTCTGTTTTTCAAGGTATTTTTGAGTTATAAAACCACCTGTAATTGAATAAATGTACAGTAAAGCTGTTTAATGTTATACTGTGGAACATTCCAGGCACAGCAAAGACATAGCCATAGAAACAAGCAGGTGACAGACCAACCCACCACCAGAAAAGTTACACGGTGCATCTTTACTATAGTTTTGTCATTTATTAAAAGTGCACTGTGTAACTTTTCTGGTAGAGGCCTGCCAGTTACTTGTCTCCATGTTATTACTTTACCTCCAATTTTCCAAAGTATGGCACAAAACCTTTCAGTCTCCATAGTAACAAGGAGAAAACAACACCTGGCCAACTTACAGGTGAGATCTGTGAAGAAGAATGCTTGTTTTTAAAGGTATGTTTGCACAATAAAAAACCATAATCAAATAAATGCATCTTGTATAAATTTAATACCATATTGTGGAACATTACAGACAAAGTAATAGCATCTCCATCGTACTTGAAAAGTTAGGCACTGCACCTTAAAGTTTCATTTCTAGACCATTATGTTACAGTTCTCAAAATAAGTTTGAAATACTTATTATCTTACTTTTTAATGGGTACGTTTATTTAAAAGCGCACTGTGTACGTTTTTATGAAGGGTCAATTTTTTGCTGATCTCTATGGAAACGTTATGGTAACGTGAATAAATATAATTTGGGCATGTTAATTGGGTTAACATTGTGTAACTTTTCTGGTGGAGCTTTTCAAAATCTTTTCTCCATGGAGATGTTATTGCTTTGTCTGGAATGTTTCACAGTATGGCATTAAACCTTTCTGTCTGCGTGGAGACCAAACCAGACCAAGTTACAGGTCAGGTCTGTGGAGAGGCGACCCCGCTCACAGTCAGAACGTCTGTTTTTCTAGTTTTTTTTGTTTTTTTGAGCTATAAAACCACCATCAACCAGAAAAGTCACATAGTGCAAATTTTGTAGATTTTTTCATGTGACTTTTACTTGAGTACATTTTTGTCCCTGTATCTGTATTTTTACTGTTAACAAAGTTTATTACTTCTTCCACCACTGACTTTAATTTGTATAATCAGATTATATATAATTTACTTGTATATACTTTACTTGAATACCAAATACTTTACTTGTACAGATGTTTTACTTAGTTACCTCTTATAACATTAGCCCAAGTCACCACATTCCAGTTAGATGATTGAAATGTGCTCATCCACAGAGGTTTGTAGTAAAGTCAACAACATGAAACACAAACACATTTGTGTTTCTTGTACTGCATTCTTGGATGGCATTAAACCTGTGGAGAGGCGACCCTGCTCACAGTCACAATGTCTGTTTTTCTAAGTATTTTTGTGCTATAAAACCACCTGTAATTGAATAAATATAAGGCAGAGCTATTAATGTCACACTGTGGAACATTCCAGGCAGAGCAATGACATAACCATAGAAACAAGCAGATGACGGAGGCCTAACTGAAAAGTTACATAAGTGTAACTGTAAGATGCATTTTTAATGTTTTGTCCTTCATTAAGGTCAAATTATGAATCAGATGTTACACCCAAAACATTTACTCTTTATGTGCTTTTACTTGAGTAGTTTCTGGGACTACTGTTATTACTTTAGTTGTGGAAAATGTATTCAGTTGTACAGTATCATATGAAAAATCTACTTAAGTAAAAGTATTAAAGTACCTGGTTTAAAAATGTACTAAAATGTAAAAAGATAAAGTGTTTTGTGCAGATTTTGGGGTTTAATAAAGCTTCAAATTTTCAACAGAAACAATTCAATATCAATATTTTTTCCAGCAAAAATACCTTTACTTTTCAGTCCTGGTCAAAAATGTAGTGGAGCAGAAAGAACAGATACCTGTGTCAAATGTAGTAAAGTAAAAATATTCCACTTTAAAATTTACTCAAGTAAAGTAATTATATCTCACTTACCTATTTTCCTTCCTTACTGCGTTACACTTACTTGAGTACTACAGTATTTTTGGATACTCTACCACCTCTTTTTTTGAGACCTGCTGAAAAAGCTTAGGGTTTATTTTGATCACATATGTAGTTTGAGCAAACAAAAATACACAAAGAGCAACAACTTTTACTTTCACTTGAGCATTTCTCTGCTCCTGTATCTGTACTTTTACTTGATCAAGTACAAAATCAAGGTACTTCTTCTACCACTGCTACTACTTTGTCCCTCTACTTCAGTGATATTATTTTGAAGTAACATTATTCTTACTTCTCCTGCCTGTCAGTAAGGAGGTTGTGGGTTAGACTCCTGAACGTGCATGAACTTGTGTCTATGTTTTCTTTACAGGAACAAATCTCTGCAGAGAAACTAAAGACAAGTCCATCAGGTGAATTAACTACTGAATATTAAAGCAGCACTGTGTAACTTTTCAGACAGGGTATACCACAGGCTTTATTTATTGATTTATTTTGTGCAAACGAGGTCAGTTTGCAGCTTTCTGGTCAAAAGTATCCAAATCCAAGTGCGTGCTGCCTTCAGTGGCCTCTGCAATTTACAGTACTATGTGACATCACGCAGAGCTGCCAGGGGTTTCTGATTATGAACACCCAGCTGCAGACCAAGAAGAAATTTTGGCTGCGTTATCACCTCTGCCTTGTGGCTATGTGGGGCTGCCTGTTACGTTGTCTTCTGTTTGCTGTAACTGGAGAAGCCAAAACCAGGCAACCAAACCTGTCATTATCAGCTGAAAAGGTGAACTGAACCTCACAAAAGTTAAACAGCTCTTTCCCGCTGATTAAGTCCCTGAACCTTTGAGGGGAGCAGAAAATCAGGTACCACCACCACAGCAGTTCACCACACACAGGACTAGTTTACGTCCAGGAACCAAGAGCTGTCCAAAGTTGGTTTTGAGTACATTCTTGGGCTGCAGATCACTGGGTGGTGCACACATGTCTGTACACGTCTGGGTTTGACATAATCATTACGTATGAACAAAAACAAGAGCGTACACTTGAATAGAAGTAGACAGATGAATAAAAGGTTTATTCAAACAGGTGTGAATGAAACAAAGCACATTAGAAGGTGGTGTAAAGCTCACCAAAGTCCCTATTATATAACACAGAACCATGGTAACCATTTATATAATAGAACCATGGTAAAAAGGTGACTTGACTGAGTTGAACTTCGTGAGAATTTAGAGTTTTTTGTTATGTTATGTTATTATTATTATTTTTTTGTTAGACTTAGATTTAGTCAGAATTTATTTATTCACATATGCAATTACTTACTCACACATCACAATACATTACAATAACACAGAGTAAAAAAAATATTTTTAAAAAATGGCAAGAAACCTCTAAATAAGTAGCAATAAAAAAAAAAATAGAGATGGAAATTGCAGGAAAATCTACTTGAACACAAAGACACTATTTAATAAAACATGTCTTTTTATTAATATACTCAGATAGACTAGTCCAGGGTTGTCTAACATACGGCCCGGGGGCCAGATCCGGCCCTCCAAGATCTTTAATCTGGCCCTCGGCTGATTTTCTACTAAAATATTTTAATTATATTATTATATTTTCTATTAAAATATTGATAATTTTCTGCGGTTCTGAGCATAGCAGCGTCTCCAGTGTCTCTGTACGTGGCCCCTCCCACCAGAGCAGCACAAATGAAGACTTGTCTCTTTCCAAACGCTCTTAAAGGACGATCGTTTTGACTGTTGACCGTGACACCCTCATCAGAAAAATGTCCAACATGAGAAAAGTGGAGCAGAGTGCAGGATTTTCCAACAAAAATTGACTTATTCCTATTTACATACAAGTTCATGTTAAAACATTGTGTTGAAATTGCATTTTTCTTAAAGTTTCAGGTTGTTCATGATATTATAATAAAAATTATAATAAAATTGTATTCATCAATTAAAAAAAGATTTCTGTAATAGATTTGTGTTTCTCTGCAGAAATATTTGAACTTATTGCAATTTTTGGGGTATATATGCCTTTTTTTTTTTTTTTTTCCAGCCCCTTTGATGAAAGTAGGTTGGATACGGCCCCCGGACCAAAATGAGTTTGACACCCCTGGACTAGGCTAAAACCAAACTGTGGAAATCGTAATAATTCTCGTAATAATTATAATAACAGGTTTATATAGCACCTTTCAATACACCCAAAGCTCTTTACCGCATTATTCATTCACTACATACTGTGGTGATGAGATATTGTTGTAGCCACAGCTGCCCTGGGGCAAACTGATGAAGTAAGGCTGTTAGTCTGCACCATCTGGCTCTCCGACCACAAACACTCACATACCACTTTCATACTAGGCAATGCAAGTGAAAGGACAAAACAATAGTTTTTTGCTGCTGGTGCCTCACTGTGGTACCTGAGGTCAAACCAGTGTCTCCCATCCA